ATTGAGGGGTGATAGATATAGGAGAGATGTCAGAGGTAGGTTCTTTACTCAGAGAGTAGTAAGGGCATGGAATGCCCTGCCTGCAACAGTAGTAGACTCGCCAACTTTAAGGGCATTTAAATGATCATTGGATAAACATATGGATGATCATGGAATAGTGTAGGTTAGATGGGCTTCAGATTGGTTTCACAGGTCGATGCAACATCGAGGGCTGAAGGTCCTGTACTGCGCTGTAATGTTCTATCTCTCTGCTCATGGCTTCCTCACCAAACGCTCACAGAGGTGTATTTATATAACACCGGGGGGTGGGGGAGCCTTTGTTACGGACTGGGCGAAAGCCGGGGGGAGGGGTGGGGGGGAGAGCGGCTTCATTAATGGATTGGGTGAAAGCGGGGGGCAGGGTCCCTGCTATAGACCAGGTGACATTTAACACTGCCAAGTATAACACCCAAGTGTTTCAGAATAAGTTACAAGAGGTCAACCAATAAAAGCTGCATCACCAATCTCTTTCTGTCTCTCCACTAAGTCCACACCATTGACATTTGCAAAAAAACTCCTGTTTATGTGCTGTGGCTGGTCAGTCAATGCTTTGCCTCCCCCTGGAATACAGAACAAAAGGAAATCTGTTCTCAAAAAGGTCCTGGTTGAGAGCCCACTGCTGGTGCTGAAAGGAAATCGCACAATGCACAGGCACTAATAATCAGCTGCTCTCCCCAGCTCCAACTGGGGTGGAGAGGAGCAGGGGAGCGTGCTTTACTTCACAGTCCTGTCAGCTACAGTTCGCCTCCTGCAACCCGGGCCTTATAAGGAACCTCTTAAAGAGAGCAGCAAAGGACAGGCTCGAAAGCTCCTCAAAACACACTGCAGCTCCTCAACACGGACAAATCTGAGGGCATCGTGTGACAAATGGATGGTCCAGGTACACAATCAGTGCAGGTGAGGAAAGTTAAGAGCTAGTTTCAGAAGATGACCGGATTGGGGTAACGGGTCACGCATATCCTATCAGGAAGAAAACCTGCCCTTCTCACCTGGTCTGGTCCGTACGTGACTCCAGACCCACAGCCAAGGTGGTTGACTCTTAACTGCCCTCACTCAGAGGCACCAGCATTTTCTAACACTGGTTAAAGTGAGCTCGCAACATTGAAGACGAAAGAGAGTGTCAATGAATGGCAGGGCAACCGGAAGCTCAGAGGAACAGAGGGATCTGTTCTGAAGAAGGGTTACTGGACCTGAAATGTTAACTCTGCTTTCTCCCCTCAAATGCTGCCGGATCTGCTGAGGTTCTCGAGAAATTTCTGTTTTTGTTTGGAATCTTGGGGTGCTTCCACAGATCCCTGAAGGCGGCAGGACAGGTTAAACAGGGTAGTTAGGAAGGAACGCAGGGAGCTTGCCTTCATCAGTTGAGACATAGATTACAAGGACAGGGATTATGTCGAAGCTGTACAGAACTTTGGTGAGGCCACAGCTGGAGCACTGTGTACAGTTCTGGTCCTCGCACTGTAGGAAGGATGTGATTGCACTGGAGGAGGTGCAGAGGAGATTCACCAGGATGTTGCCTGGGATGTAGCATTTCAGCTACGAAGAGGGGCTGGATAAGCTGAGGTTGTTTTCTTTAGAACAAAGAAGGTTGAGGTGGACCTGATTAAGGTGCATAAGGATGTACAGAAAGCAGCTGTTTCCCTTAAGTTGAAGGATCAAAAACAAGGGGGCATAACTTTAAGGTGATAGGCAAGAGGTTTAGAGGGGATTTGAGGAAAGATTTTCACACAGAGGGTGGTACGGGACTGGAATGCACTGCCTGGGAGGGTAGGAAACCTCATAACCTTTAAAAAGTGCCTGGATGAGCATCTGGAGTGTCACAACATTCCACACTATGTGCCTAGGGCAGGAAAGTGGGATTAGTGTAGATTTAGTGTAGTTTTTGGTCAGTCAAGCAGCCACTTGTGTACTGTATGGTTCTAAGAGGGAGAAGTGGAAAGCAGGATCCCAGAGAGGAACACTCAATTCAGCAGCTTGGCTTTGCAGGTAGAGGGTGATGGAAATGGGAGACTGTAGGAAAGGAGCAGAGGATAGGAGCTTGAACAAGCTGGAGGGCGATGAGAGACAGAGAGAGGGGGAAGAGACAGAGAGAGAGCGCGCAAGTGAGAGACAGAGAGAGAGAGCGCGCAAGCGAGAGACACAGAGAGAGACAGATATGAAAGAGTGCATTGGGAACAAGGACCGGAGAAATTCAAAACGTAGGGGCTCGAAATGTGATGGAGAAAAAGAGAGTGCTGGAGAAACTCAACAACATCTATGGAGAGAGAAACAGAATTAATGTTTCTGATTTGAGAGTCCTCATCAGAACTGGGAGATAATTACTTCCTGGCACCACAGTTGGTTATAATAAAATAGATTTTAATATCTCCCAGGTTCGATGACAGGTCACTGATCTGAATCATTAATTGTCTCTCTCTCTCAATATATGTACGGAGACACAGCCTTTAGCCAGTTTTTTCACCAATAATTGAAAACTTCTACAGCCTTCATAGTGACTTGAAGTAAGCTTTATGTCCCTCCCAACTCCTACAGTAACCTGGAAGCCTGGCAGTCGTCACTATAACACACCAGTCACACCACAAGGTGCTCAGCAAGATTCCAGAAACATGAATGGATGGGATCAGCTGTTTTGAGGAGGCTGTTGGATAAAGGTCAACCAGGCAAGGAGGCAGAATCTCCCACCTTAGTGATCAAAGGGTGGGCCGTGGAGTTGGGGAGGGTGGGGTGCAGTTATGGAAATAGGTTTGTGTCTACCTGCCATCCACTGAGAGTTTACATCCTACAAAGCAACAGGACGCGCTGGTGATGATCACAGAGCCTGAATGTGGAGTCAGACTGGAGGGAAACAGTCTCAGAGCTGGGGTGGGGTCCCCAGCAATGGGCTGGAGGTGGCGGGGTGGGGGGGTGTAGAGTTGAAAAGGAGAGGCAGTTTTTTGGAGGTCAAGAAGCTCAGCGATGGTCTGGGGGTAAATGGAGAGAGGGTGGCGGGGAGAGACAAGCGATACTGTCTTTTCTGGGGGGAGTGGGAATGGTGATTGAGATTCCGAGGGGTATCCCAGTGATGTTTTCCGCCTGCTCATGAACGCTCAGCTCCAGGAACAAGGTTATGTCCCAGTTGTAAAGGACTCAGGGACTGAATCATAAACTTCCCACAGTGGGTTACACACACATCAGGAAACGGCACGGTGGCTCAGTGGTTCGCACTGCTGCCTCACAGCGCCAGGGACCCGGGTTCGATTCCCCCTCGGGCGACTGTCTGTGTGGATTTTGCACATTCTCCCTGTGTCTGTGTGGGTTTCCTCCAGGTGCTCTGGTTTCCTCCCACAGTCCAAAGATGTGCAGGTTATGCGGATTGGCCATACTAAACTTTCCACAGTGTCCAGGGATGTGCAGGCTAGGTGGATTAACCATGGGAAATGCAGGACTACAGGGATAGGGCAGAGAGGTGGGTCTGGTGGGATGCTCTTTGGAGGGTCAGTGCAGAGCAGACTCCATGGGGCTGAATGGCCTCTTTCCACACTGTAGGGATTCTGTGAAAAAGACTGTAGCTTTAATCAGCAAATTCAACATTGCAGCATAAAACATTCCTGGGATCGTTCATAGGCAGCTGCTCAGTTCTATATTTAGGAGCAAAAGGACCCAATTGTTAATCCTTTCCCAATATCTATACCTAGATTTTTCTGTTCCCATCCTTGCAAACCTTCTCCACTATATCCTTCTTAAAGTGACCAGTACTGCACACAGTACTCGGAGGTCAAATCAACATTCAATACAGGTTTAGCAAACCTTTCCTACTTTTCAGTTCACCTGGAAATAAAGCCTAGTGCCTGTATTTTCTCCTCTCATGCCCTTGCTAACCCACGTCGTAACCTTTTGTGGTTACACCCAGCAGTTCCTCTATGCCACTGAGACTCTCAATTTGTTGGAATCCTCATCCATCTTCCACAAATTGGCACTAGTCGCAAATTTAGAAATTGTATTTTT